TCTTTTTATAAGAGGTGAATGTCTTTCTTATAGAAAAGCTAAATTCCTCTTTGTTGTAGAAGAGCTAAAGGTATTTTTCTTCACAAAAAACTAACCTTAGAACAGCTGAAGGTCTTCTTCATAACAGAGCTGAAGATATTCTTATTTTTCAGAAGGTGTTCCACTTCTTCATTGAAGGTCTTCTACTTCATAAAAGAGCTAAACGACCTCTTCGTCATATTCAAAATTTCATATCCTTCACAGAAGATCTGGGAGTTCGTCTTAATCTTTTACTTTTTATAAGAGCTGAATGTATTCTTCATAGTAGACATAAACGTTTTCTCCTTATTAGAAGAGCTATAAGTCGTTTCCTTATTAGAATAGCTAAAAGTCTTCTTCATAGAAGAGCTGGAAGGTATTCTACTCAGAAAAGGTGGAAAATCTTCTTCATAGAAGCGATGGAAGGTATTCCTTATAATTGGAAGGTCTTCTTCTTCATTAAGTAGCTGAAGGCCTTCTTCTCTTTTATAGAAGATCTGAAAGTTTTCTCCTCCATAGTACAGCTGAAGGACTCATTCTTCAAGAAGAAGAAGATGTTCTTCTCCCAGTAATATTCTTTTTTAAAAAAGATGTGAAGGTGTTATTATTCTTCTTCACAGGTGGTCGTCTATTTCATAAAAGAGCTGAAAGACCGCATCGCCATATCCTAAAATTCATATTTTTCACAGATGACCTTCTTCTGCATAGAAAAACTGAAAGTATTCTTCTTCATTGAACAGTTGAAAAGTATTCTTCTCCATAGAAGAGCGGGAAGGTTTGCTTCATAGCGGGAAAGCAATCTTCTACATAGGAGAGCTAACCAGAGCTATATTGAGATTACAGATAATGCGGTAAGACCTTTCTATGGGGACTATGCCAAAAACATGACTCTTTAGTTAGATATTATTGGTCCTATATTAAACATTTTATATAGAAATTTTATTCACCCTCCAATAACTCGGAATCAGTTAGAAAACTTTAGCTAAAACCTTCCAAATACCGAAAATGTGGAGGAACCCTTTACCTAGGGGCCCTTTACCCAAAACTTCGACCGATATATTACATTTTCAATACCAAGTTCACATTTTCAATACCAAGTTCACATTTTCAATGCTTATATTTTATGTCCTTTTAAAATAATTATTATCTTCTTTAAAAGATCTGGAATTAGTCTATGTCCAAACGATACAACCTTCAAAATGCCAAAAACCTGGAGAAACCCTCTGTTATGAGTGATTTATCCAAAATGTCGAACGATATATTACCTTTTCAATACCAAGTTGTAGCAATCTATGGCCCATCCCTCATTTCCTCTTCTAAGAATTATCTTCTGCTTAAAAATATCCGGAAATTTCCGACTTAGTCTATTTCCAAATAATGAAACCTAAAATAGAATCGTCGTTTTGTCGTAAAATAAAATTGCTTTATTTTGGAAATTGCTAAAATCACAATAACACTCCTTGCCAGAGGGTAGGCAGCAGGTAGGTTCTCGTAATGAAATCTAAAACCCACGCAAAAATTTCAACTTGAATAGAAACTTTTGATGTGCGTTCCATTTTTGTCTTCGGTAAACAACAGTTAGACGGCGGTGTGTCTGACTTTTGTACAACTGTATATTTTCCAAGAGATAAAGAGAGGTTAGTGACAAAACATGCTAAGCTCCCAAACACACCCACCACAACCCATCATAAAAAATATCATACCCCCACAGCCATCCATCAACAACCGTTTCCCAAGTGGTAAGGTCGTCGACAAGTTTTGTTTTGTTGTTTTTGTGCCTACCCCAAAACTTTCCTTGCCCCCGACAAGTGAATGATTTCGGTTTTATGCCTTATCACCAGCCACCCACCAGGCCATCACTCACTCCTCATCTTTATTCACTTATTGGCTCTGTACAATAGTTATTGCCAACTTGAAGTTAACAGTTAACAAATTCTGCAAACAAAAATTTAAACAATAAAAGCAACAACCGACAAAAATGTGTGAGAGCACACACACAGCCCATGACTGCAAATAATTGTTAGAATACTACAAAACAACAACAGCAGCAGTAACAATTTACAAAAATATATATAGAACTCTGAATATTGTGGGTGTTAAGCCCGTTTAAGGTATATATTTCTGTCACTTGTATGTAACATAACTTTCAAAGTAAACGTCAACGCCGAACGTTCGTTATTCAGTAGCATCGGCGGATACCGCTGCTGGCGCAACTAAATTATGAATGAAACTTGTCTTTAAGTTTGTACGCTCTGCGTAGTAGTATGGATTCCAAAACACCTACGCGTTTTGTCATTGTCTGACTCTGTATGGAGCAAATGAGGGAAGGGAGAGTGAGAACTGTTTCTATATACAGCAATTTTATTACGTTAGACACCCTACACACAAACACGAACGCATGCACATACCCACATAGTAATCCGCCTACACACAAAAATTGTTGTATCACTTAGTTCTCTTCTTCTTCATCGCCATCAAAGTAATGGATGGTGAGTAAGGTCTGGATAAAGACACTGGGGCCAATGTTCGGTTATGTATTCTGCTATGAGATTTTGTTTTTGTTACTCTATTACTACTACGATTACTGTCTCCGAGCTGTGCTTCCCTCATCCTTATGAATGAAGTTTTTCTTGTGGGTGTTGTTGTATTGATTTTTGTTTTTCTTTCGTTTCGTATCGTTTATTCGGATAGGTGCGTGTGTATCCATGGGACACGTGCTTTTTTCATGCGAATTTTCCTTCATAGTATGAGGAAGAATGAGGAGGGAGGGTTGGGTTTGAAATTCCAATAAATCTTCGTTCAAAGATGCTGAAAGATTTAAATTGACAAAAATGTATACATACTTACAGATTTTTATGAATATTTATTTTTTTTTAAGTTTTAAGAATAAAATTTTGGAAACACCACTTGTGGTATATTGTAATAATCTGCATAATAAATAAAAAAACTTTATAAATAAGGCCGCTTAATGGCTCTGATAGGGAGAAAATCGCCCTAAGGGGTTTTCTTCTGTAAAAAAAATTCTTCTGTAGCTATTGCTCGGCTTCTGAACCTGAAAGAAATTTTAATGAAAATAATTTTTTTTTTGATTTATTTAAATTTAAAAATTCCCACAACTTTCAAAATCTGGAACCAATCATACATTTTTAGAAATAAACTACGCTGGGTTTAGATCTGTAGAAACCATAATTACGGCATTTGGGCGAACTTCAACCCAATGAGATTAAAGAGCTGTTACTTCATATAAAGGAGTCAATGAAACGCAATGGACGCAATGGATAGACCATCTGAGACGTAGCGTCTGCCAACATTTGACCTCTCAGTTGTTTATAGTGATTTTACCTATTTAAACCTAAAAAGGCTTTAAATCATCGAAGATAGTACCTCCTTTATATGGTGAAGCTATAATATATGGATTATTTTTAATTATTTCAAAAGTTAAATTAAATTAACATACTCGTAACCTAACCTAAAGAAGACTTTGGCGACATAGGAATAAGACAAAAATATTACCCAATTATTTTTAAAGATAAACTATCAAATTTTTATTATATCTTTTGCAAGGAACTCGTCCTCAGCCCATACAGAAAAAATATTTCTGAAATTCAGTGTTCTGGATAATTCCAGTTATATTAAATGTTTTTCTACTATAAAAAATAAATTTTCAAATATATTTCAACTAACAATGTTAAATTTTATGATTTTTTATTCTCTATATCACTATTTCTTCTTTATTTCTATTAATTAAAAAAAAATAAATTTGCTTTAATTCAAATGTCTTTAACCGTCTAACGTTCACCGCTGACGCTCTGGTTATGTCTTACTTCGTTTCAGTATTGCCACACAACAAATCACAATGTTACCACCCTGTGCAATGACATCTAATGTCAAAAGCGAAACAAAATGGCAAGGGCGCAAAGCATATAATGGCAACAGTGACGAGTAAAATCAAATTTGTGTAAAAAGTGAAAAAATGTGAAGAAAAAAGCAAATAATTTAAAAACAAAGTGATAGAAATCAATAATTTTAAAAGAATGTGATAAGAAAACAATTATTTTAAAAGAAAATGACATCAAATATTATATTGATTTGAAAGAATTGTCGAAACAGCCAATAATATGAACGATTGGAAACGCCATGGGGACAAGGACGCCAAAAGCTGTTATAAAGGTATGCAATTTTCATCTTAAAACTATTTTCACAATTTTTCTATTGTCAAATATTTTATTTTTGCATATTTTTAGTCGAAAAAAAATTAAATTAAAAAAAATATAGTATAGTATCTAAATTCTAGACCCGATAGAATATGGGGAGATTCTATCGAGTCTAGAATTTAAACAGTTGTGGAGATGAAACTTCTTCTGAAGAAATTATTTCGAGTAAGAAATTTAACATCTGTATTATAAACACCAATAGCTAATTCCGATTGTATAAATCCATACATGAGTTGCAGAATCGGTTCGATGAGAGCAATAACGAAATTTTCTTTAATAATAGATTAAATATTCATAAAATGGTGGAAAAAATCATAGATATTGTTCCTTTTAAATTTGTCGTCCAAACCTTGTCTGCCCGCATTATAGCGCCACCAACAACTCACTTATTTTACGCTTCCAATTGGAAATAAAAAATATGTGATGGTACATTTTGTTGGTACTATTGTGTCAAACACGCTTCGTTCGTATCGCACTCTCTTTTTGCTGTACCTTTCGTGCATTTCTTTGTGCCCACACTGATTCACAGTAATGAGTTCGTTTACCTGTGTGTGTTTTTTCCATTATTTTTTGGCAATATACGTTGGTTTTGGTTGTTTCATTGTCTGGCGCTTTTTAAAGTAGAAAAAAGTGTGTAAAACAAACGCGCAAGTAATTGAAGAAAACATTTCGTTCGGATATTCTTAATATTGCTGGTGAATTGTCTGTGGAATTCTAATAGAATTATTAGCAAAAAGAAAAAATAAAACAAAAGTGGGCCAAAGTAATATGGATTCAGCGGTAGAGGAGAACAAACAATTGGAGGGAGAGTCTTCGACAACGTCGTCGTCGCCGCCGCCATCGTCGAACAACCCAAAAAGTGAAAGTTTTAATGAGGAGCCAGAAAGTTCGGAAGAACCACTCAGAAAGCGTAAAAAATCAGCAGACGAATCACAACAGGATGCCTTGGTTACTTCGACGGTGGGTTTGAGGCGTTTCAAACGCATCCCCATTTTCATTGTCGACTATCACAATGATGTATTGGAATTTATATACCGGTGTCTGGCCTCAAGGCATTTGCCCCTGGAAAACAATACGCTGCTGCACTTTGACTCTCACCCGGATATGGTGATCTCGCGTGAGATTCCAGCCAGTTCAGCCTATGACAAGGAGACCATGTTGGCCGAGTTGAGTATTGAAAATTGGATAATGCCCGCCTGTTATGCTGGCCACTTTAATCGTGTCATTTGGGTTAAGAATTCGTGGTGCCACCAAATGCCCGAAGGCAAGTACAACTTCAAAGTGGGTCACAAAGAAGACAAAATCAGTGTGGACTGCTGTCTCGATTATTTCATATCGGAAGGTAACTACTGTCAAACATCTGAATTGGAGCAGCCACGTGATATGGAGTTACACGTTATCAACAATGACACCGACAAAGTGCCCGATCCCAAGCAACTGTTGTCTTCAGAAGATTCCCAAAATTATATTCTGGACATTGATTTGGATTTCTTTAGTACTTCGAATCCCTTTTTGGAAATCTACAAGGATGCCAACTGTTATGAACAATTGAGCCAGATATTCCATTTCGAAAGTGCCACAGAATCCACAGCTGTGGGCACCACCGAGAAGCGAAAACTCCAATTGGAAGCCTTAAAGGGTGTCTTTGAATATCTGGAAGAGAAACGTTCATTCGAAGGCATTGAAATGCCCGATCCAGACATAGTCAGCAAGGAGGTATTCGATCGAATTGTTGCCTTGGCAGAATCTCTCCAAAAGTGCTATGCCGATGATGAAATTGATTGGCTTTTGATTTTCGATTCGGGCAGTACCACAGACACTAATGGTCTACCTCATCACATCAGTACAGAAGCTGAATTGGAGACATACTATGGCCAATTCAAAAAGTTCCTTACCCAATTGCCCCACCCACCAGTTCTTATTACCATGGCCTGTTCGGCGGAGGATGATTATTGTCCACGCAACCAGGTGTCATGTATACAAGAGAAGGTTGTCCAAATACTGAAGGAGGTATTTGGCGATAAAGTCCATGACAAGCCAATTTTACATTACATGGATGATGAATGGGATGTAATGCAGTTGTAAAACAACCAACAATATTTAGAACAGACGGAGCTATTAGAGAGCGTAAAGTTAAACACAGGACTCATGCAGTTTATTATAATTATTATTGGAGGCAGACACGACGATGTCGCCCTTCTCTAACACACCAGGCGACTGCAGTATTTTGTCTATTTTATATTATTACAACTATTATTTTATTTAGCCCTTAAGTTATGTAGCATAAGTTATAAAATTTATAAAATTTTATTATGATGATGTAGGAATCAAATAAAATTTGATTCATTTTGATTGTAGTAGCAGTAAAACGATGATTACCAACAATGACAAGGACGACGACTTTACAAAAACACACAGTGACATCAAATACCAGATGCAAATGAACTTGACATTCATTTATTAATAAAAAAGAAACGGATATTTAAACAACAACAATAGAATGCAATTGTTTATTTGGTTATTGTCTTGTTTGCTATATGTGGACGATAAACACCCCGAAAAAAAGAAGTCACTTCGGGTTGTATGTATTGGATTTGGCTAGCAATATGATTAGATGATTGTGATTCACAAAATTTAATACGCAAAACACACTTTGCAAGTTCATTGACCTAATTTTGTTTGTTCTATATCGAGATAGATGATAACCACCAACCTGTCTGACAATAGATAATTTTGATTCTCTCAACAATCAGAAATTTGCTGGGGAGGAGGAAAAAGGAATAAAGAAAAGACATTTCAATTATGACTAATAATCTTTAAATGGAAATTAATGCTCCTAATCAGAAAATCTAACTCTATGGATGGTATTTTGATACTTTCCACTCTGTTAATGAGTGGTAACAAAATTATTTAAAGGATTTTTCTAATAAAAAATAATACCAAAATATTAATTTGTAATATACGTTCGCCCCTTGTTATCTTTTATATTTGAAGCCTACATTGAACATTTCAGTAATTTGTAAACATTAAATCTGGTACCTTTGTCATACAAGTTTCCCATATTCGTCTACAGTTTTTTTTTTCTAAAAGAAAGACCTATGCTATAAAATATTAAATTAATGACCAATTTCTAAGACCAGAAATTCAATTTAGCAAAATAAATATTTATTAGAAAACGTATTTCCTATCTTTTAAATACGTCCTTGTACTGGCGACACAATTCACAACAATCTCCACTTCCATGTTGGATTTTGGGCATATCATCCACACTTGGGTCTTGGGCCAGATCATATATTCCAGCTGAGGTTTGGGTATTAATAGAAGAGCAACTGTAAATATTAGAAATATTAGAGATGCTGTTATTTTTTCCTTTTCTTTCACTTACGTAGATACCATAGATACCCTCCTGGAGTTAGTTTTGAAAATGGGTTCAAATGGTTTTGAACTAAAATAAAAAAGAAAATATAATAAATAGGTTTCTGTTGATAAACTTTATGTTCCATATCTCACCCTGGTAAATCCCGAGCATGGCAAACAGGTCTCTGTTTACGTGGTCCATGGCATTCCAATTCATCATAAGGGTCAGCATTTACAATACATGGCCTTTGATAGCAATGTGTTTTTATATTACAATTATTGTTCATTTGTTTAGACGGCAAACCAGTAAAAGGTTTACGAGCATGTTTTGTAAACGATTTCAATTCCTCATTGATATTGCCAACGTTGAATATTTTATCCTTAACAAAAAATTCAGCAGCCAGTTCGATTTTTGGTGCTATGATACCCTGAAAAAATTGCTCTATTTAAAAAAATTCGCTTATTGAAATGTGTAATGTAATTTACCGGAAATGCCGTTGTTGTCTTCATAAGTAATTGTTTAATATTGTTATGGGGACAATGTAATTTGGGTTCCGATATTTGTAATAGATCCATAAGACTTCCTTGATAATACGCCAATCTTCGGCCACTTTGCCACAACGTAATTTCCAAAGGCTCTGTATGCATTTGACTAATCAATGAAGCAATGGAGGGAGTGTTTTTGAAGTAACCTTCCATTTTATAATGGTCATGGCATAGTAATGGAAAATATGGTTCCATGGCCCCAGTACGAAAGAAATAGCCCAAGGTTTTAATGGTAACCTCCAAATAGCCATGGCTGCATAACCACACTCCGGGACAGGTAACCTTTTTATGAGCAAAATTGAATGCAAATTTAATTGGATGAAAATGGTTTCTAATTGCTTACTGCTTGTAGTTTCAATTCAATTTTTATATGAAATCTTTGTTGGTCCGTCATTGTAAATATCTTTGGTTAATAAAACTAACTAAATGCTAAAATAAATTCCTTTGTGTATACTCCCCTTGCAGATTGTTGCTATGCTTACAATTTGTTGCTGGCCAACGGAAAATTGGACATGCGTTGAAGTTATTTCCATAGCTATTCGAAAAACCTGTTGCTCCTTTTTTAATTTCTTTGTTTTTTATTTGTATTTATTACAACAATTGACTTAAATTCTATACCTATTAACTCAGATTTTATCTCTATTTGAATGGGCAATAATTTTATACAAATTCCATCAAATCTAATTGATCAAAAAGTTTCGCAATGAGATATATGAACAAATTATATGGAATGGCCTTTTGAAATTCATGAGATTTGAGGCGACTACGTAAACGCATAGCGGTACGTGCAATATCTCTTAATGTAAAGTGGACATTTGGTTCCAGAGGCAGATGAAGGCAACTTAGCACCGCATAAAGCCAACAACCCAACCATTGTTCACTGTTGCTTAAATCTAAAATACAGTCGTTGGCAGCTGCCGAACTGGATGAACAAGCAACCTCCTCCATGTGTTCTCCTTTAAGCCATTCTGAGATCATTGTCAACAATTGTTCCAGGGTACGCTGTTTCAGACGTAAGATTACACTAAGTGTGGGTTGATTTTCACGACAGAATTTTAGCCAGGCATCTTCATCACTGATCAAAGGTGGTTCCAGGTTATTGTCGTAGTTGTGCGAGGCTAAATGCTGGCGTAACATGAGGATTTTTGAACGTGTGCGCAGGAAACCTTGTGACTGGGCATCTTTCCATTCTCGGGTGGGCAGCAAATCACGATCCACAACAATGTCAGGGCTTAACTGAAAAATATAATAAGAGGATAAAAAGATTATAAATGAAATTAAGCTTCAAATTATTTGTGAAAGCTTACCTCAAAATCTTCCAATTGGTTTTTGACACCATTTACCGGTTTCACCTTTTTGGGCGGTTTAACCACCACCGCTGGACATCGTTTGCGTTCGTACAGCATATGCATTAGAAATTCCTCGCCATTTTGTGGCGGTGCTGTGGGATCGAAATTTTCTCCAGGTTGCCGTATTTCCAATGCTTGTTGTTGAAATGTTTCCAAATCTTCATCTACTTCCATTCTATTTGAATTTCTTTGCGAATTTTGAGTTGTAAACAAAAAAATGCCAAAGGAAACAATTGTAAATGCTGTTGGTAAAAAACGTTGCTAGTGTAGCCTAAAAACAGCTGATTGGCTTTTGGCGGTTAACCGGTTGCATGTTTATGTGCAGAGTTGTATTTTTAGTACTTCTTTTTGTAATGTTGGAGTAGTGTGGTTATTGGAAGACGTAACGTATAAGTGTAAGACTCTTGACCGTTGCTCTTCCTAATATTTCGAAATTAAATAAGAAATTTGGAAGTAATTAAAATAGAGGTGGTAAAAAATTAATTGATTTTATGAATTTTAAATGCAGCTCTTCTCAGTCTCTTCTCAGTTACTATGGGTACCTGTGCAACAATGAAGCAGAAATGACAACCAAAGTCCTAAATTATCATAAAATATATGATAATTTATCTAGTGGATGGACAATCCACATTCCAACAAAAAGAGGATGCATTGGATTTTTTGTTCGAAATCATCAACAGTGTGATTAAAATAAAATGTTCTTTACATAGTAAAGTGCAATAATCCAGATTGCAACAAAGAGTAATCATTGTAATTTTTCCAAATCATCGACAGTTTGATGAAAAAAAACTCTTGAGTGAATTTTTTTTTTTTGTTTATTTATACCATTATTGGCACTTTTCGCTTTAAATGTAAAACTTCATCACGACTTTCATTGCTATTATAAAATTTATTTAAGGTAGTCTGTGTTCATTCTCCTTCATACACATTAATATTTCAAATCTGTCAAAATCTAATTCCCCAATAGGGTAATATCTTGAACTTTTTTATGTTCGAGATGTGTAAAAAACTTCCTAATTAACTGAACTTTGCAAATTTTTTCTACACAATTTAGTTTTTATGTAAATGTACAAAAATCAACAACTACTACAACTGTTTTATCTTCCACTTAAAACATATTTACACAAAATGTGGATTATTAATGAATGTATAGATGGTTGTTTTCATAAAGGTAAAACAACAAAATATTCATATGCTGCGTATGTACACCGTATAGAGAAATAAAACACTTCATAATAAATTCAGTTTAGAAAAGTTGTTCGTTTGTTGTTGTTACTTAATTATGCACTAATCAGCTTGGGTAATATATATTTTCCTGCTCATTTGTTGCTCGACGTGTGGGAGGAGTAGGAGGGACAGAATATGTTAGTTTGAATAAAAACATACAGGGATAATGTACAGGTGGAATTACTTGTTACAACGATATAGGGATGCCAGTTTTGAGATTAGTTTCATGGAAAAAATTTAAAATCTAATATGGAGCTAACGTGTTCAGTTGGCGTATTTTAATTAAAAAAAAATGGAACTGCACGCAAGTAACATCCTTAAAAATTACTGATTAAACGGACATACCTATTTTTACAAATTTACCGAATATTAATCGAAAACTCCAATCCAGTAAAAAAAAGTGTTTTGAAAGGGCTCATTTGACAGTTGTGTTAATGAGAGGTTACGAATTCTTATTGGGAACATTTACACAGTGAAGTAGCGTCACCTGATTTTAAGTAATATGTTTTCTGACCACATGGGCAAATTTGACAATACACAGAACAATTAATTGATTTAATTGGTAATGATTTGTACATTTTTTTTTCTAGATTTTGGTCGTTTACCCAAAAATCCAGTAAAGAGAGTGAAATAAAAGATCAGATCTCACAGATGTAGTACGGAAAACTTACAAATTCTTACTGAAACAATTCTCCAGTGTTAATCAGCTTATTAAATTGTTACTAAATGACATTCGCTAACATTGTCACAATACTTTTACGTGAAGAATCAGCCCCAAAATCTTGAGAATCGACATTTCTACCCATACACACAACTAAGCATTGTGTCAGACAGACAACTAACTAGGTACCTTTTTTGACTTTCTTACTTTAGTCGAGAAACAAATACATATAAGCTGGGGGGAAACATTTTGCCCGCAAGTTACAAAACATTCCCTTCCTGTAGTCGTAGTCTCACAACACACCTACTACCAAAGTACGTCTCTCACGTTGGCGTTTTATGGTTATTAACACACAAGAGACTCATTTGTTTTTGGGTATTTTTTTTTTTGTTTTTGCTGTTAAAGAATATAAAGAGAATGTTAACACACGCACTCAAAAACCATACACGTTCCAATGTAAAACAACATTCCATTATCATCGTCCTACAATCTGGCGGCTAATAGGAGGGAAAGTACGAGTGTGTGTGCGGTTTTTTGACTTGGTCAGGCATCAGCCAGTAGGAGTGTTATATGGGCGTGTATTTTGTACCATGCCATGTCTCGGAAGGGGAAAGGATATGTGGAGAGTAGTTTTTTTTTGTGCTTTTGTTTGTTGAGTTACCCTTTAAATATGCTCGTTTATTAGCTTGTTATATAAAAAATCATATGGTAGTGCTGCTTAAGCTTTCACAGATTAAATTAACACAGTGGATAATGACATGTGGCTGAAAAATTACCGGCTAAAAGAAGGAATTTCTGTTTTTATTTTGAAAGTGGTTGGTGGATTGGAAGGGTAATAGAAGAAGTTCGTGTTTTTATTTTATAAGTGGATAGAATGGTTTGCTTCTCTACAAATCCGGTTCCCTTAACCGTAAACACTTACCTTTTAATAGAATCCCATACAATTAATTTTGGACACATATTTTCTTTTCAATATTCAAATATAATTTTTATTGTATTTTTTTCTGTTGGATTTATGCAAATATTTGTTTATTTTTCTTGTTAAATTTAGAGCTATTTTTGTTGTTGTTGTTTATTTTAAATAATACCTTTAATTTGTCTTCTTACACTCTATATATGTTTGCTTGCATGTTATACATAATTTGTTTTGGGGATTTCTTAGCAATTTTTATTTCTTCTTATTGTTGATCTTTATAATAATTTATATAATGTAACTAATATAGTAATATAAACAATAAAAGGAATTTACATCTACCAATTACCATTTACTTTTTTATTAACTATAATAATTATAATGATGATGAATATAAAAAATTTCCAATATATTTGAATAATTTGTTTAAAATTTTGTTTTTGTTCTCCTCGCATCTTATAAACTTAAATAATTAAAAGTAATATTCTGTTATTTTTTTTTATTAATAAATAATTTATTTTCTGTTTTTGTAATAATATGAAATATTAAAATTACCTTTTATTACTTCTTTTTTGTAACACATTTTTAATTAATTTTGGGAAAATATTGTTTTTGTTTTTTGTTCATAATGATTTTAGCATTGGGATTAGTTGGTTTGGATTATTTATTAATTTCTTTTATTTTTATAAGCTTTATGTTTGTTGTTAAGTCTATGGGATTTTTTGAAATGATATTTTAAAATAGATTGCTTGATTTCGTAATTTATTTATTATGAATAGCAGGATATGTATGCAAGTTTTTTTTTAACGAAGTCTTGAAGAGAATAATTTTAGAAATAGGGAATATTTTTAAAATTGTTAGAATGCCATTTAATTTTTTCTTACGATCTATTGGGAAAATTAATGCGATGTTTATTGAAGAATTGATTGTTATTGCGGGACTAATACATCAATATTGAAGGGAGTAGTTCTAAATATCGGTTTTTTTGAAAGCATACAAATCCTTGTGAGTGCACAGTTTGCGGATAGTGGAAACCCCAATAACATTAATTGGGTAGATATGAATCAAATATTAAGCAGTCGTGAATATTCAGCGGTTTTTTTGGGGAGCGTATCGGAGGAAATGACGAGGGGAGATTTACACCCATGAATAACCAATTCCTAGGTCTTAGGACACCTCCTTCCCAACGCTGGGGTATGAGGCTATGCCATCGTCCACCTGAAATCCTCTCTCAAAACACTTCGATGGAGTCCTTAGTTAACTCTCTTTTATAAAGATAAAATGATATTACTCTTGATGACAGAAATGCGGGCCTGTGTTTAATTGAGGAAACCGGATCCTTCCGTCACAGTCAAGAATGTATCGCGACCTACCACTGAGAAATCACTAAGACCAATGTTTGTGGGAGATGATATAAATCTCGGCGAATTTTATACCATGACAGGCAGTGAGTTGATGCTGGTGTTTATGACCTTCCCATTGAAGCAACCACCAAATGTGCCAACACTAAATATGACTCTCACAAAAATATTATCACTGTCCAGTTCTATGAACTTCTTCTCTGTAACTGAAATAGGAATTCGATCGTCGATCTCAAATCTCAAGTTTAGTCCGAAGTTCTCACATCTACCCGAATGATATTGGGAAGAACTTCTTGATCGAAGTATTCAGGCATTGCGCATGAAGTTGCCTTCAGCTAACCCTCCAACCGAAGAGACAACTGTGAGTAGTCCGAGCCGATTTGGAAAATGATTATACCCGTCCCGTCAGTTGAACCTCTGCAACCGGCAGAGGGATTCGATTACCGATAAGGATTACCTTCAGATCAAAAGGAACCTTAAGGGGACCCCCCCCATTCTCGGGGTCAAAAATATTGTTGATATAATTCGAATCTACACTAATTAAAGAATGTCCCTACAAAATTTCAAGTGAAAATCTCAAGAACTCTTGAAGATATAGGCGATTTATTGTGTCAGCATCAGGTGACGGCTGAAGGGCTTCTCAAATTTTAAACGCGTTTTTCTCTAAACATTTTTTTGCGAATGGCGGGCACGATAACTCAAAAACTAATAACCCAATCAATTTCAAATTTTTACACGATTCTCTGTGAGTGTATAGCTATCGTATGAACTAGGATAAAGCCAATCGGTGAAGATCTTCCTTATTTTTTGACTTGGGCTTTGGTAAAAAATCGGCGATTTTCCAAAAAATATTTTTTCAAAGGTCCACCATTTTGTTAATTTTAGAGCGAAGTCAATAATCCTAGTTCATACGAGAGCCAGACATGTACTCTTTCTAACACCGTTGGAATTTTCGGATTCCGATGTTCCAGTGAGGATTTATCATGCCCGCCATCAAAAATAAGGACTTTTC